AATGAAAACCTCTGTGTAACAAAAAGATTTCCAAGTCCTAGCCAATAGCCCATTTATTTCAAGATATACTTGGTACAAGTAAAATTCTAGTATAACAAGAATTAAGACTCCCTTAGAATTTGTTGTAATGGAAACTGGTATGTGATCCAGTCAAATCTTTTTGCATAATACTGTTAGGGGTGGGGTACCAAATTATACCCTAACTGTCAAACAGGAGGCTTTGATTATAGGTAATGTTATGTTTCAGGGCACACAATTTGACAAAAGTGTAATCAAAAACATAGTAACAGCTCGTGTGGTACAGTAGAAAGAACACTAAATTTGAAGACCTGAGTCTGAATCTTGGCTCTGCCTTTTACCATCTGTGTAAGTGAGCCAGTGACTTCATCTCTCTCAACTTTAAGCTTCTCATCTAAAAACTGACACATTTGGACTAGATGACCACCAAGGTACCTTCTAACTTTAGAGCTAGGATACTTTAACCTCACCTCTGGGTCCCTAGTGGGTGTCTGACTCCTCATTAGTCCCAAGGTTATCAGCTAGTAGACATGAATGAGCATTTTTTTTTCTTCCCTTATCTTCCTTTCCCTTTCCTTCTCCCTTCTCTTCCCCCTTCCTTCGTCCCTTCCCCTTTTCCCCTCCTCCCTTCCCCTTCTCCTTTTCCCCTCCCCCTTCCCCCTTCCCTCAGAGGCCCATGGTGGTAGAACTAAGTGTCAAAAAGCAGCATTTAGACCCAGGTCACTTGACTCTAAATTTAGTTTCTTATTTGTTGTACAAAACCTGCACTCATATAAGTGCAGGATATAAGTATGTTTTTTCCCTCTTCTTGGGTATCTGTATACATTCCCCCCAAGCAGGCCTTTGCCTACTTGATGGAAGGAAACACAGTCCGCATTAGAGACTTGATTATTTTGCAGATAAAACAATAAAAGAGCCCTTTCTGAATTTTTTTTTCTTTACAGGGTTGGAATTTAAATTTGGGACATAACCCTGAAAGTCTCCAATGGTTCATAGCAATAGTTCATGTTTACAATGTTTAAAATGAGTTGAATTGGAGTAGATGCCCTCAAAGACCCCTGGCAGCTCTGAGTCTGTGATCCACACAGTACATTAAGGTGTTTAGCATGCCTTTCCCAGAACAAATCCACGAGGTGGGCATTACAAGTATCGTTACCCCCATTTTGTAGATGAAGAAACTGAGGCTCTGAGAGGCTAAGTGAATTAGCTGTCTAAGGTTGTAGGGTTAGGAGAGTATCAGGGTTGGGAGTCTGAACCTTCTTGACTCCAAATCCTGGTTTCAAGTTCAGACTGCAACACTTACTGATTGTGTAACCTGAGATAATTCACTTCTCAGTGCCATGGGCAAATCTCTAAAGACCACAAGCAGAGAAGGTGCTGTCCTGCATTGGTATAGGGAGTTGCCTCAGTTTCCTTACCTGAGAGTATTGGGAGCTCCCAGGAATGAAATATTAGAAATGAAATCACAGACTCAGCCCCTATTACTAGGAGTTCTTACCAGAGAGTTACTTATTTTACAGATAAAAAAAAAATCAGGGAGAGGGCTCTTCATGAATTTCTTTTTTCTTTTAGGGCTGGAATTTAAACTCAGGACAAGCCCCTGAAGGTTTCCAATTTACTAAAAACAATAGCTTCTGAGAGAGGAGCCTTTATTAGTTGTAATTAGTGATTTACACTGTCATCCAGAAGGGCCCTGGCTCTGGTTTTGGTTGGATGGCACAGTTAAATATTGCAAATTACTTTCTTTTTCTTTGTGTAAGAGCAGATGAGTTGCCAGAGGCTTCCTGATCAAGTCCATTGATCTGACAGCTAAATAACGAACAAGAAAAACCTTCCTTAAGTCTTGAAACATATCCTCGTCTTGCTTAGACATTGCCCTACTCCAACAATAGTCAGAAAACAATGCCGGGCTAGGTTTGGGATATCCAACTAAACTCTTGACTTCATTTGCTAAACGAAAGCTGTTAGCATTCTTGACAATATCAATTTCATTGCCAGCTAAGCAGGAATAATTGCTGGGACTGTATAAGCAGGAGATTTAAAAAACGAACCTGGAGAGGCTGAGGAGGACCAAGGTTTCTCTAAGTGGTCTTTTGAGCACCTTGATGAATAATATGAAATGACTGCTTCAAACACAGCTTGTTGGAACATTGGATCCCTTGGGTTTGAAGGTCTCTGAGGGACTGGAGATAGGTGGAATCCAGCCCTTTACCTCTAGAAATGCAAGGCCTAAACTGCCCTGAAGAACAAGGTTAAGGTAATTTAACACTCCAGAAAATATTCAAGTTGGAGTACAAGAAGGTGAGCTCATTACCACTGAACTCCGAGTGATTTCTTTGAGTCTGGATGGCATCTACAGAAAGAAAACAATTGCTGGCTAATTTTAAATCCTCCAGACAAGGAGGTTTTCTGTAGCTTATTGGCATATTTGTAAATGTTTGTGTGGATTGACCAAGAGGCTGCAGGACCTCCCCTCCCCCCCCCCCCCCCCCCCCTGTGGTTGTCCTGTTGTTTTATTAGTATGGTGGATGGATTTTTAGTCATTGCACTTGTGTACAGATTCCTGTTCTGCTCCTTGACCTTGGGCAGATCATTTAACCTCTTTGCCATTTGGAAAAGGGGAGAAATTGGGCTAGATGACCTTTGAGATTCCTTCTAGTTCTAAATTGATGACCCTCTGGTTCTGAGTTTGACAGGGTTGGGGGTATCTGTCTTACACTCCAGACTTAGGGAGGCTGAGGAGAGGGCAGGAGGGGGAATGGTCCGTTGATTAGCACCGGTCACGTGCAGATGGAGGCTTACTGCTTATTGAGGCATTATCAGCTTCATCGTGGTTCAGAGAGAGCATCCAGGTTGCTACTGCTTCCAGTTTCCTTCCCAGCACCCAAGTGCTGGGTCAAGTTGTTTCTTCCTAGGCTGAAGAGACAGTGTGGTGCATAGGATAGTGCTGTATGATGACGGTTCAAGAAGACCTAGGCTCAAATCCTACTTTTTCCACATACTAGCTCTTTGACCTTGCACAAATCATTAAACTCAGGGGAGCCTCAGTTTCATCATCTGTAAATGGGGTGGGGGGAAGCATTGGCCTAGATGGCCTCTCAGTTCCCCACCTCACTCTAGTTCCATGATCTTATGAGTCACCCAGGGGTAACTTACTGAAAGGTCACATTTGAAGTCCATAAATTCCTGGAGGGCAGGGAATGTTTCGGTTTTTATATCTCTCACACCTAGTAGAGTGAGAAGCGTAATCAACGTCTGTTGACTAGAACTCTACCCCTTCCTTTGGCTTCCAAGGCCTTCATTAGCTATTTCAATTGGCTATCCAACAACAAGAGAAAAGAAAGGGGATATTTTCAAAAGGTACCTTTGGATAACTTCCAAAATAAAGACATGGTAAAAGAGCAGGCAATGAAGATGGTCTGAACTTTGACAGGTTCTCTGTTGTCCCCTCCCTGGAAAACAGCTGGGAGGCATCCTGATACAGGGCCGTAGAACACAGACTCTAGTGACTGAAGTCAAGTCATTGGTCGTGGATTCAAATCCCACCTTTGCTGCTACTTTTGCTGCCAACCATGGGCAAGTCACTTAGTTTTCCTGGAGCTCACTTTCTTTATCTGTAAAACCAGAGGACTGGACTAGATGGTCTCGGGAGAACCTTCGAGTTCTAGATCTATATGAAATGAACTAGATTTTAAAATTTTTTATTATATATATATATGTATATATATTTAATTTTTAGGCCCTCTGGAAAGTTCCCGAAATACTTCTCAGCGCCCACCCCCACTGTGTAGGCACTCTGAGGCGGTGGCAATACTGTAGTTGGCAGAATTATAGATTTAGAGCCCTGGCTTCCTTCAAGTCCCAGCTAAAATCCCATCTTTTAGGGGAAAGCTTTTTCCAGTCTCTCAATTCTAGTTTCTGTTGAGTATTTCCAATTCATTCTCTAGATAGCTTGTTTGTATGTAGTTGTTGGCACGTTATCTCCCCGTTTTAGACTTCGACCTCCATGACAGCAGTGACTGTTTTTTTGCCTTTCTTCGTATCCCCCGTGATTAGTACAGTACCTGGCACACAGTAAGCATTAAAAACGTTTATCGGTTGGCTGACTGGGACCTCCGGACTTTCTAATTCAGCCCCCCGGTTTTACAGTAGCTTTTCTTTGCGAGGTTTCTGGATCTAGGGCTGGTAGGGTTCTTAGAGGCCATCTAATTCGCCCCCCCCATCCCTTTTTACAGATGCAGAGACTTACCCAAGGGCATAGGTAATATGTACTGTCAAAGGTGAGTTTTGAAGCCTGAGCGCTTTCTACTGCCTTTGAGACCACCGCCCTGAAGCAGTGACCCGAAGGTGGCTGATGTCTAGGCTATCCTTGCTCGAAAGGTGTGGAAGGGGGGGGGGACTTCTTTCCGGGCAATGAACGCTCATGCAACAGAGCCTTTGCAAACGCTGCCTTTAATCTCAGTTAATAACCCGGGTTGTCCGTTGCACCAGCCTGGCCTCATTGACATGCAGGGGCCGTCTGTGCTCGGGACGGCTCCTGCGCGGCGCTCTGCACCGGGGCTCCCTTTGTCCGTGGCTGCAGCCGAGAGCCCTGGCAAGCAGCCTCCGGCCACCGCTCAGTGGCAGTGGCCGAGAGCCGAGGGTCCAGTCCCAGGGGATGGCGCGGCTCCCCATGGTGTCTGCCCCCAGAGAGCTAGGAGCCGAGGAGAATGTCCCCACGGATGCCCACGAGCCCTCCGTGAGGCGAGAGGCTGCCCTGCAAGGAGCGCATGGGAGGAGCTGAGGGTGGGAGTGGGGAGTGGGGAGTGGGGGGAGCTGGAAGGGGGTAGGCGGGCCCGGCGATTGGCCGGCGCCAGCACGTGACCGCGGCTCGCGAGGCCACACGTGCTATCGGCCTCCCGGGCTGCAGAAGGGCTCCGAGGGCCCGGTAGTTGGTGTGTGCGCGCGCGCGTCTGGGAATGTTGGTCTGTGTGTGAGGGAGCGCGAGCGCCCACGTCTGTCTGCGCGCTGAGCGCTGGTTCCTGCTTTCTCCGTCGTCGCCGCTGCCTGCAAGAGCGTTTGCACTTCTACCGAGGTAAGCGAGAACCACGGCTCTTTATTCTCATAAATTCGCCTCCTGGAATGAATGAATGAATGGAGGAAAAAAGCGCGGGGGGAGGGGGGCGAGCATTGTTCTCCTCTCACTCAAAAGACTGCAATTTTTGCATTGGATGGAATGCAAAAATGCAATCAGGCCGGACTGTGGAATTCAACGCATTGGCTCCCCGTCTTATTTGCTTCCCCCCCCCCCCCCAAATCGAATGTGGCTTCAGGTGCAAAGCCAACTCCACCGCCCAGCTCAGCTTCCAGCAGAACCGGCTGCCTTTGTTGATAAACGGGGGTGGGGGCTTTAACATTCCCAACAAGCTTGCAGTGGAGTTAAAAATAACAGCCCTGTCGGATTTGCATCTTCCTGGGTGGCTTAATTGATAAAGATTGACCGGGGATTGTGCCCAGAAAAAAAAAAAAAACATTCCCCTGCCTGTTACGGCAGCTCGAGAGGCGATTTTTAATGCGAGGGGCACGGCTGGGCATGGAGGGATGGAATGTCACTTTTTGCTTGGTTCGCTGCAAAGTGCATGGGGGCTGCTGGCGCTCCGGGGAGACATAAAGGCTGGTGGAGGCATGGGATCCAGGACCATGGCAAATGGAGAGAATGCGAGTAATGCTGAATCTGAAGTGTAACTGTGCAGAGAGGGAAGAAAAAAATATGACAGTTTGCTTACCGCAGGTCTGAAAGCCCAGCACCGATTAACCAAGGCTGATGGAGTGCCCTCAGTCAGTCAGCAAGCATTCCTTGAGCACTTACTCTGTGCCGCACTGTGCTTAAGCGCTGGGAATACAAAGAAAAGCAAAAACACGGGTCCTGCCTTCAAGGATCTCACATTCTAATGGGCGAGTTAACATGGAAATCATTAGGCACATGCAGAGAGTCTACAGTGCATAAGACAGCTGCTTCCCATACTTTTACCTACATTGAATCTTGGTGCTGGAGGAGAGAAAACAGGACACTTATTTTTTTTTTTAAGCCACAACAAATAACTGAATATTGGTGCAGCTGAGCTGAAGGAAAGGCTGAGGCTTAAAAAAAAAAAAAAGATAAATATGGCAGAAGCAGTCACCAGAAAAATGCCTGCAGTGAACTGCAGAATATGCCACTATTCAGGGATTTTTTTTTTTATGGAGAGGATTTGGGGGGGAGCCCGTTAGCTGAGGGTTCCCTCCCCCCCCCCCCCCCCCCCCCCCCAGCACTATGTACACTGACAGTTCACTATTTCCAGTCAGGCTGTTGGGGTGGAGGTGGGGGTAAGCCAGCATCTGAATTAGGCAGACTCAGACTTCCTTAATCCTCTGAATAGTATGTTTGGAAAAGACTGTTTGGCTTCCATAAGAGGTCACTCAGCAGAGGTCCCTAGAAAGAGCTGGTGGAATGACTTATATCAGTTGGTACTAAAATTAAGTAGAAAAAACAGGTTGAGAATTGTACCAGTGACACCTTCTTGCCTCTATTCTCCCATTTTCCTAATCTCACAATAGAAGGGTCATTCCATACTGGCTCTCCAGTATGAATATGTAAAAGTTCTTTGGGGATTCACCTGGTTGACTGGTAGCATTGAGCTCATCTGATAACTTGCTGGATAGGAAGCAGTTCTACTTACTGACTTTATAAGGATTTTACTCCATTCCTAGACTTTGAGAATAATACAGTTGGAACATAATATAGTATGGGAGAGAGGGCAATGAGCACCCTTTCTTTCTGACGTTGAGATAGTCTGATGCCAGTTCTCTGCTTGCTTCAACCCCCCCCTTCCCATTTTTCTGCCTCTTCTTTGCTCTTTCCTATAATTTTTTTTAAATCCAGGAAATAACTTGATTTCCATTAGACCCATGATACATTCCCAGTTTCCAAATGCCTACAGTTTCCATGATATCCAGAATTAGGGAAAAATTAGGGGAAAGTAGCACTCTTGATGTTGGTAAGGACATCAGACCTTATGGCTTTTGGTTTGATGGCACCATTGTCAGGAGCAGGCAAGCAGACTTGGTTTCTGTGGAAGGAAAAAGGGGGAATTGAAAAGAACCAATTAGTTGCCATGAAGCTTACCTGGAAAAAATGGAAGTGAAAACATAACTGATTACTAATAAAGCAAAATGTAGTTTGTTGCCCCAGATATAGTAAGACAGGACAAATTCTCTTTGAAACTTAACTGATTCAGAATCACTGAATGGTAGAGAAAGAAAGGATCTTAGAGAATATCTCTTTCTAGACCAACCTCTTCATTTTGAAAAGGAGGGACTCAGTGGTGCACATTAGCCAGAAGATTGGCAGCCCTGCATCATTAACCTATGCACTCAGCTATGTGGTTCTTTGACCTACTTGACAAGGTTCTGATCTCTGGTCCACCAAAGGCTTGTCCTCCAGTGTTGCTTTGGAAGTAGCAATAATGGAAAGGCTTTTCTTTCTGGGATTTCTCCCCCATGGGTTGGGGGCAGAGAAGGAGAGATGGAATGCCAGAGATGAGAATCTGCCCTTCCTACTGAATCATTTCCCCTTCAAGGGAGATTATGTGGCCACTTACATAAATGAGCTCAGGGGCACCAAGTTGAGAATGGTTCCGTTTTTAGAGTCCCTTTTTTAGATGCTACAGGTAGGAGGGGAATATGGTGGAGGAAGTCAATGGAGGAAAATGCTATAGGAAAGTCAAGGAGATGGTAAATCTATCACTTTCTCCTGGCTGGGGCTTGGAAGAAGGTTCTCTACAGGAAGAACTGCCTTACTTGCAGCTTAGCCTGTGTTTACTTTAGTTTCTGACTGCATGAAGGACTTCATACATGGAGCAGGGAGGGTTGGTTCAAATGGCCAGTAGGTTCCTTTCAACGCCGAGATGCTAATGACTCTAGGGAACTAGCCATTTATTGCACGGGAGGCCCCCGGGAAGGTAACATGTACTGCTCAGAAAGGTTTTAAGCCTTAGCTATGCTAGCAATGTGCTTGGAGAGGAAACAAAGCCAGCAACCTAAGCCGCAGCCCTCCCTAAGTCCTTGGCTCCCCTGTTTCTCAGAAGCCTGTAGGTGTTAGGGTCTGCCTTCCCCACCAGTAGATGGTGCTGCTGTCTCTGGGAATTACACTAGGAGGTTTAACAGGGTAATTGGCCAGCTGTAGTCCTGCAAAGCTGCCCAGTGCAATGTCCGGAAGATTAAAAAGAAAAAAAGCTGTGTCAGCCTTCTGTTGGAAAGAGTCACAAGGAGAATGCATCTGAAAGACTGAGCAGCTTCTGACAAGTTGAAATAATGGGTGCTATCACAGAAGATGAATGATTGGTTATTTCATTTGCTGTATCTTTTTTTTGGGGGGGGAAGGAAGGAGCAAATGATGATTAAATGTTCTTAGCATAGTATTTTGCAATCCTGTGGTTGGTTAATTGACCATAAGGTTAATATCATCACAGTGGATTTAATTGCAGTTTTGAATATCTCCTTTGCTTTTGGTTCTTTGCACAAAAGCTAATATGCAAATCTGGGCATGTCCCTGAAAAAATACTTATGATTTGAAAACTCAAGCCTGAGCAAGCATCAGAGGCCTAGGGAAGGCATATAGTGTGTGTATCCTCTGAAAACAGGAAGTAACAATTGGGGAGTGGGTGGGACTTGTGACCTCATCATTGTAGGTATCCTCTGAAAATAGGAGGAAGACATAGGTTTGTTTACTTTTTTTGTCATGGAAGGGGCTGGTCCATACATTCTCTGTCCCTTTTTTCTTTTTGCTGTAAAGCTATTTTTCTTATCCAAGAAATAAACAAGTTGATTGTCCTTGTATTTTAGTACCTTATGTTGCCAGGTACATTGAGAAGTAAGTCACACAACTAACATGTGTCAGGGGCAGGGCTTGAACACCATTCTTCCTGAATTCATATCTGACCTTCTACGCACTATCCTTGGGGTCTATGGACTTGTTTTGCTAAAAGAAAATTCTGATAATTGAATTTCAATAGAATTGGTTTTCCTTGTAATTTTATGTATTTTGTTTCTTGCATTTAAAAATATGATTCTATGATGAGGTCAAGAGGTTGGATCATGCTTCCAGAGGGGTCAGATATGCAAAAAAAAAAAAGTTAAGAGCCCCTGAATAGTTCCGTAATGCCCCTTATTCATGGAAAATTTTAGAAAAAAATCCTGCTACTGCAAATATGGAATATAGCATCATTCTACTGCAAGGCTAACTTCTGCAGGCAACTGAAAGTCGGTTACAGAGTGCTTCAAAGTCCCTATAAAATTCCTAATAAGCACCCCAAACACTTGCACTTAAGAAAACTATTAAGTAAGCAGTTTGCTGACTTTCTTCTGTTCGGGATAGCAAAAAGTGACTCCAAAGGTGAAGTAATGATTCTGTTAACTTCATTAGACAGGAGGAAATTTTCCACCTCTTGCCTGGTAACAACTCTCTAGAAGCCCCATCATTTTGAAAGCATTTGGTAGAAATGTTCTTTAGGAAGAAACTGTCTAATAGCAGCCTCGCACTGGTATGCATTGAAGGGCAGGGTCCCAAAGAATAGAACTCGTCATAAGTTTTGACCAAGCACAAGGCATAGTTTAGGAGTAATGGTGCCTTTCATTCATAGCAATAGGTCTCCAGGGCAGTTCATGTCTTTGACTCAGCAGTGTCCAGGGATCATTAGAGGATTTATTTTCTGTGCCCATCTTACTGATATGATTGCTGCTACCAGTGCGAAGGCCAGCACTTAAAACTAGTGAGGTTGTGGGTTAGCAGTGGGCACTGTCACTCTGGCCTCTCTGCCTTTTCCTGCCTTGGCATGATGGACAGAACAATGGATTAGAACTCAGGAAGATCTGAATTCACTTCCCACTTCAGACAATTACTCTGTTATTTAACCTCTATCAGAGTTAAGTCTCTCTTCTATGCCTCCTGCAGATGGTTATTATAAGGATCAAATGAATTAAGTACTATATTAATGTGAGCAATTATTATTAGTAATAAGATCATTGATCTAGACCTGGAGGTGACTTTGAGGTCCA